GAAACCCTGTACAGGGTCGCTATGGGTCGGAACCGACTCGACGGCACTTAACAACAACAACAAACAAAGGCAAGAAGTGACTGGCTTACAAGCTTTCAATAAGGAACCTAGTTCCAGAGGATACAGGGAAAGGTAGAATCTCCACTGAATTGTTTCCAACCTGTCTGGATGGGGGTTGATAAAAGGTGAGGGGGAAAGGACTCCTGTGGTGCAATAGGGAATGAATGCTATCAGATATGACAATGAGTGTTGGAAAGGTAAATGTGTGGTAACAAAAAGAGAGGAGTGGCTGCTTTTGCAGTCCAGGAGCGGAGATCCCTGGAACCATCAAGGGAGACAAGCGAAGTGGGAGACCCTGTCCAGGGAGGCAGTGACACTAGGGATGGAGGCAGAGACGATGACTTAGACAGAAAGAGCTGCTGGGGACTCTGGAATCAGGGAGAGAGAGGGGCTGTGTGCTAGTGGCCGGGGGGCAGGCGTGCAGGGTGTACCCTTTGGTTGTTTGATGATGCATGCAGTGGATTGTGATCATTGCAACGAAACAAAATACGATAGGATGAATGTAAAGATAATGTTCACCCATGTAAACTAACAAATAATTCACAATAAAAACTTAAATAAAAAACACACAAAGGATAAATGGAAAAAGATAACCCTATGTATTGGTGAAACCCAAAAAAAGAATGAAAAGGAAAGATGTGTGTGAAAGGAGGTGTGTTTAGTGATGGAAAGCCTGCTTCTCTATCAACTCTTTCCTAGCAACTGAAGTTGCAAACTTCCTAAGTGTTCCCATGGGTTCTCCATACAGGCATTGAATAATGGCAGGTGCCCATGTCTTTAGAACATTGAAGGAAAGGGGACTGAACTCAATGACCTTCCAAGAGTTTCTGACCTTTAAGATTCTATAAACAAAACTCATTCTGAGCTGGAATCCAGGGAATCCACATTCCGGTTCTGTCTTTACACATAAGTTATTTCTCAATCTGGGAGACAAGATAACCTTTACCTTCCACCCACTCCCTCTCCCTCTCTAAGAGTATTAACGCCTCCAAAGTCGGACCCACGGCCCCAAGAGTCTGGCTATCATATCCCACAGACCACTAGCCTCAAAATTATTTATCAAGCAGTTCCTTTCTAGGGCTGGGGCTGGATGAAACACCACACAGATCCTGGAGTCTTGCTATCCTGGCTGACACCTAAGCTCTTCTACTTCCAGCCAGGCTACTATGGGTCTATGACTTGATTTCTTTGGGTCTCACTTTGTTCATCTTGAAAATGGTGATGATGAGCTATCTCTCAAGATTACTGTATTAAGTGAGATATGCATGTGGCTCCTTGGCAAGGTATTTGACACAGAGTAAGCATGAAATGAACGTCAGTATTATCATAATTATAGATTTCCAACTTTCAAAACTCAGTAGGATAATGATTCTAAGCTGAAAATACTGAAAAAGAGAAATGATATGTTTGGAATTTGCTTCAGAATAATCCAGGGGACGAGGGGAAGAATATAAATGAAATTAAATTAGCCGGGTTTTGAAAACTGTTGAAGGTGGGTGATAATACAATGGATTTGTTACCATTATCTAGAGAGAAACTTGCACATGTGTGACATTTTTCAAACAATTTCATAAAAAGTTTGAAGATGTATGATGGGGAGGAAAATGCTATAAAAATATAAATACCTATATGAGAGGGCTTCAAAAAGATTGTGAAAAAATTCCATTATTTTTCTATTTTAAAGTTTTTGAAGCCCCCTCATTGTACAGTAAGTTCCTTAGAGATGAACTCAACTTGTAAACTCTTTCTTGCCCTTTTATGTTATATAAGTTTGTCCTCACTCTAAACCTTTGAACTGACCTCTTGTTATTGTTAAGTGCCATCAATCGATTCTGACTCATAACAACCATGTATAGGCTTTTCAAGGAGCAGCTGGTGGGTTTGAGCTATCAACCATGTGATCTACAGTCCAGTGTTAATCCTACAGTACCACACCCTGAGTTACATCAAATTCTCCATCACAATCATACTCACTTTCTGCTTTTAAATTATTGAAAAGGCTAAAAAAGAACTGTGCATCTCTGTTCCAAGTTACCTAGAAATTCAGACACACATAGGAACGAATCTTGTTCACAACCCAGGGACTGCCTGAAATTTATTTAGGCTGCTTTGGTAGTTTAGAGAATTCTATCCTTCTATGTGGGAGATCTGGTGTGGCGCTGCAGGATAACGCACTGGACTGCAAGGTTGGTTTGAACTACAAGGTTCATGGTTCAAACTCACCAGCCGCTCCTCTGTCACTATGAGTTGGAACCGACTTGACAGCATTTAACAACAATAATGTGGGAGACCAGAGTTTGACTCCTGGCTAATGTACCTTGTGCATAGACAACACCCATCTATCAGTGGAGACTTGTGTGTTGCTATGATGTTGAATAGGTCTCAGTAGAACTTCCAGATTAAGATGAAGTAGGAAGAAAGGTCTGGTGATCTACTTCCAAAAATCAGTCAATGAAAATCCTATCCCTATGGATCACAATTGTTCAGCATGGAACCAATCATGCAGGATCTGATAGCATTGTTTCATGGGGTCGCCAGGAATTGGTTGTCAACTCCACAGCAGCTAAATACAACAATGCAATTCATCGATGATTAGATGTGATAGGTGACTGGCAGAGGCAAAATTATTTGGGGTAATAAAACAACAACCTAAAAGAAACACCGTAAAGTCAATGTCCCTTTTTAAACTTTTCAAGCAGAAATGTCTCCGGTGAGAGGAAGAGAGTAGAGTCACCTGTGTATTTTCTCTGCCTTCTTGGGGAGAAGACGACATCACGCTTGGGTTGTACATGCATTTTTAGGTAGACAAGCCCTAGGTGGTAGAATCTGACTATGAACACTCTCATAGCCCCACAGAAACAGACTGAAGAGCAAGAATGATCCTGTGTTAGGGAAAGTGAGCAAACTGTTCAGGGACAGTGGGTGCCATCAGCTTTCTTCAACCCCCAAACCAATAAGCCAAACCCACCACTATTGGTTCAATTCCAACTCACAGCTATAGGACAGAACAGAACTATTCCAAAAGGTTTTCCAAGGCTATATTCTTTATGGAAACAGACTGCTAACTCTTTCTCTCCATGGAGTGACTGGTAGATTTCAACCTCTCACTTTTCAGTTAGCAGCCCAGTGCTTACCACTGTGCCACCAGGAATCCTTTCCTCAAACCCAGTTCTTTCTAAACCCTGATTTTGGACTGTTGTTTGAGGCTGCCTGGGGAGACTGGTTCATCTCTGTCTGAGGCTATCCTTAAGGAATTTTCACACGAGATGAGTGGGTCCTTTCAGAGCACAGCTAGTATTATTAGAGGATGCTTCGGGGGAAGGTTCGTTTGGGTCCAAGCGCCTTTGAGAATCTTCAATACCAAACATAGCACACTGCCCACACCATCTTTCTTCTTCCATATCTTCCCACTGAGAGAAGTCTGGAGACTGCAAACAAAAGTCTTCTTGCATTTAATCAACTAGCCCACTCCAAGTCTCTCTTTATCTGGAGAGAGGATAGTTCAACAAGCTTTGTTTTGAACAAATGCCTTTAAGTTCCTAAATTCTGCTGGATATAGAGAATAGACAAAAGTACTTACTCTTCTTGAAGAATGAATTCACTATTTTCTGGAGAAAACTTCCCGGTCACAGGATGCTTAAATACTGTGGTATGCTGGTTATGGCTAAAGAGAAAGAGAGAGGTGATGAATGGGGCGCAGTGTGAATGGATGGGATTACAAACACAACAACAAGGCAGTAATGTTTGGGAACCCTTGGTCACCAAAGATTCCTCCCAGGGTGAGAAATGGAGACTCTGTTCTCTGCTATGCCTTTGATCTGTCAGAACTCAGCTACCTTTAAATGCCAATACCTTCCAGCTCAGGTACCAAAGCCCACCTAACGGGCAGGGATTTTAATTCTAGGAAAGTCTTGGCTCCAAGAGAGAGAGAACACTCTATCTTAGAGAGATAGTTACACTTCAACAAACTGAGACACTGAACATAAAATTACTTTAAGAGGGCACAGGCCAAATCAAAATGAAGGAAGGCAGGCGGCACTTTCAACAGCTTCCAACAACCATGACCCAAGGAAGGAATTCTAAGAATTAGCCACCCACCCAGAAAATCCTATCTTCTTAAAATTCTTCTCCCTACACCCAAATGTCTTCACTTCAGTGATGGGATATAAATGTATGGGCATGTCTCTGCAACAAGACCTGCACAATTTCAACACTGGAGTTTCTATCACCCTTTTGAAGTTAGGTCGGATCAGCTTCCGTGCCAAGCTGAAAGACACAACCAAGTGTGTAGGTGTTTGTGTATCCACAGAAGGTGCCTGGTTCTTTGAAAAGGAGGAACTGGCTTTCCATCCTCGAGGCCCCTGGGTGGCTGAGTCTAGAGGCTGCTGGTTTGCTCCATGAATAAACTAATCTAGCCTCCTTCCTTTTAAAAGAATTAAGTGTTACTTCAAACATTTTTCACAACCACAAAATTAATACATGGACATTGTAGAAATTTAGAAAAGACAGACAGAAAAAAAGTCACCTATGACCTCAAACTCACCAGCCACTCCTTGGAAACTATACAGGGTCGCTATGAGTCAGAACTAACTCAAGGGCCCTTAACAACAACAAACTTCTCATTGTAAGCTTTCCTTTTCTTCCAGTGTTTTAAAAACTTGTGCTTACACTGTAGAGTAAAAGCTGGATCTTCTAGTTTTACTACATATTAACGCAGAAATTTCCTACGTCATTAAGACAGCTTCATTTGAAATAATCTTATCATATGGGTGCCTTATCATATGGGTGCAATCTGTTTCCTCATAAACCCATTCAAAATATAATTGCTGTGTCCTGAGCACTGTCTTAGAGGCTAGGGACATAGCAAATTGAACACAAAGTCCCACTCCTTATGATTTTGTTGTCAGGTTAGTTGTGAAGTGGATTCCGACTCACAGGGACCTGCTCCACAGGTGATGTTTGGCAGCACATCACCAGACCTGTCTGATCAGCCTGGGGGTGGGTTCAAACCTGTCGGCTAGTACAGGCATACCTCGTTTTACTGCGCTCCACTTTATTGCACTTCCCTGACACTGCATTTGTTTGTTGTTGTTGTTTTTACAAAATTGAAGGCTTGTGGCAACCCAGCGTTCAGCAAGTCTGTGGGTGCTATTTTTCCTACAGCATGTGCTCACTACATGTCTCTGTCGTGTTTTGGCAATTCTCACAACTCTTAAAATGTTTTCACAATGCTGTAGTGGTGTGCTGATGTTAAGTGTCCTCGAGTCAGTACCGACCTATAGAGCCCCTGTATGGGGTTTCCAAGGAGTGGCTGCTGAGTTTGAACTTGGCGATTCATACCGACTTTGCAGCCCAGTGCATTACCCACAGTGCCACACCAGGGTTACATACAGCACACACAGTAGACTATAGTTATTAACATAAAAATAACTGTTGTATGCACTGGGACACCAAAAATTTCCAGGGACTTGCATTATTATGACACTCACTTTATTGCAGTGATCTGGAACTGAACACACAGTATCTCCAAGGTATGACTATAGCCCAGCACTTAACTGTTTGTGCCACCCTCAGCCACCTTCTGGAAAGGTTTATAGTCCTCTTGTTGTTGTTAGGTGTTGTTGAGTCGGTTCTAACTCACGGCAACCCTGTATAGGGTTCCCGAGGAGTGGCTGGTGAGCTAGAACTGCCAACGTCACGGTTCCAATGACTTTGTGGTCTAGCGCATGAACCCACAGCACCACACCAGGACTCCTTACAGTCCTCTAGTGCTGGGCATCGGTGTGGGGCATTTTAGGTGTCTCACCTCCTCACTGTTAAAATCAATAACATTTTTGAATATAGGCTTTTTCTGCAAATTATTTTTTGGGGTTAAAGTCCCAGAGGTAAAATCACTTAATCAAAGTTTATTGACTTTTTTTTAAAGTTTCCTGATTCACATAGTTAAAATGTGTTCACAATCAGAGTCAGCAGATGATCTGAGTTTGGCAGTGTTACGATGTTAAACCACCTCCAAGCAGAACACTGAGTCTCCCTAGAGATAAGTAGTAGGTCTAAGTCAATATAACAGAAAGGCCAAGTCCAAAGACACCCTCAGGCCTACGAAAGTCCTTACTCCAGCCCTCCAGTCTGTCCTGTGCTCTGTGTCTGGAACAAGCTGGGCACCGAGCACGGTTCAAGCAGCCTGAATCTCAACAAGCAGGCAAAGCCTGATGGCTGGGCTGCTGCCTGAGCTCTGCAACAGTGCCCCACCCCTGCCACCTCCTCTCCCCCAACCACAGGCAGCCTCTCAATTCCCAGCTCCTACTCCCAGGCCAGCCCTTGGAATCCTATGACCTCATCTGGCAGGCTACAGACCAGTCTTCCCAAAAAGGCAGACTTAAGGCATGAAAATCTAGGCAAAGAGAAGCAGGCCCCTTAGCACCTGTTTCAGAATTCCTTATACCATGTTCTATGGTTAGATGTATTTACACCCAGACTCTTCTAGAAAGTCATCTCCACTTGTCAGGAACCTTGAAAACATGAGCTCTAATTTCAGCTCTCTCTCTAGACCTGCCTCATGAAAAGTCCAACTCATAACTATAAGACAGAGCACATAGTGGGCATAAAAATAAAACAACAAGGACACTTTGCACTAGCAAATGCTTAAAATCTACATGACATTTTCTTACATATGTCAACTATTAACACCATCAACCCCCATTGTAGGAATGAGGAGACTGGGCTGAGAGGAGGTTAAACCAAAAAATGATAAGACCAGGACATGAATCCAGATCTTGAATTTACAAACTCTGTGCTCTTTGCATCATAATCAGCTGTCCTCTTCCCTTGGGAATCTGTTGGTCTGGCAGCATCTCAGCCACAACCAGAAAATCCTAAAGACAGGCATCAGAAAAACAGGGCCATCCTACTATCCCCTCCCCCACTTCTTGGTCCAAAGCCAAAGTTCTGAATGACAATGCATATATGACAGTCACCGAGCCCTCAAACTGCCTTTGTTCCTACCACCAGGTCAGCTGGGTGGATTTCTGGTAGATGAGGACCAAAAGCAGTAACCAACCAGCACTTCCCTTCATTGCAACTCCTTTTCCTCCAACCCTCAACTTGCACCAGCCTAAATCTGCCCAGAGTCTTGGATAAATGATTCCTGAGCTGGAAGGGGTGGGTACTAAGGTCATTTTTATACTAAGATAAAATTAGAGAGAAGAATATGTTTTTAAAGTAGACAAAAGATAGCTATTATTTGATTAGACCTAGAGCCAACTTTGGGGAATGTGTTCACTGGACTGTGAACTACAAAGTCAGCAGTTCAAATCTACCAGGTATTCCTTGGAAACCTTAGACAGGGTTGCTATGAGTTGGAACTGACGCCATGACTCTTAACAACAACACGGGAACCACACGCCTACTCTTTCTGGGCTGTGCTTTCCTCACCTGTAACCTGTCGTAATGATACATAGTCTATCTGGCATAGAGCCAGTTCCATTCTTAGTGACCCTGTATAAAGTTATAAAGCTTCTGAGAACAGAAAGTCTCACCTTTCTCCTAAAGAATGGCTGGTGGGTCTGAACTGCCGACCTGGTAGTTAGCAGTCCAGTGCTTATGCACAGCGCCAGCAGGGCTCCTTCAATAGACCAAATACAGATGATGAGTGTGACCACACTGAAACTTCCTATAAGCAGGAGATGGTGATGATGCTGTTGTGGCCTTGAACTGCTTGGCAAGCAGGATAGCACCCTATTGTTGTTATGTGCCGTGGAGTCGGTTCCGACTCTTAGTGATGCTGTTTTAGGGTTTTCAAGGCTTTAAATCTTTTCGGGAGCAGAAAGCCTTCTCTTTTTCCCACAATCTATGTTACAGATAAGGAGACTGAGGTTCTGGGCAATGAGATGCTATTGGAACGCTGTTCAAACAACCAAAGACTTACACATTGAGAAACGAGATGAACCAGAGCAATGTCTCCTGAATACTGAGAGTTAGCATTCTGAGCAAAGGAGCATGAGCTAGGTTGCTTGGGCTACTTCATAAATACCTGGCAGGTAAGTTTTGTGTCATCACAACAGGTTATAGACGAAGAAAGCAAGGCTCAGAAAGAGTAGGTGATCTGTCCACCACCACTCCTGGTGTGGCAATGTAGGATCGGTACTGACTGTGAACCACAAGGTTGGCAGTCAAATCCATCCGCGGCTCCTTGGAAACCCTATACAGAGTCACTGTGAGTCAGAATCGACTTGATGGCACTTATCAACAACAGGCAACTTTTGTGTTCCCTGAATGCAACCACCCTTCTGATCTCTTTCCACCACTCCAGGTGTGTCCTCACCAAACAAATACTGGATCCCTAAACTCATTTGGAGATTGCAAAGTCCTCTCGCTTTCCTTGCTGTCCCCAACATTTCAGCTTCCCAAAGGAGCTCCAGTCAGCTCCATTTCCTGGTTCTAAAACTATAAAGTCTCTCATGTCCAAAGAAACATAATCCACATGAGCCACAACCTCAACTATTCTGAGACCAGACAAACTAGACAATGCCCAGCTACCATCACTGACTATTCTGACCAGGACATCACAATAGCTGGTCCCAGATAGGATGGGAGAAAAATATGGAACAGAACTCAAATTTGTATTTAAAAACTAAAGCCAGGCAAACTGAAACAGTAGGGAAC